AAATAAAAAATATCCACCTTTGCTTTTTGTTGCAGTTGATTTTTTTTTTCAAACAGCTATAGTCCAGTCTCTTAGTTGCTGGGTTTTGCAAAAACCCAAAGGAAATGTACAGGGTATAATGTTCACACTATTTTATAATTCAAAGAAACAATGTTTTGAACTACTAAAATCACCAATAAATTTTAAGCATTGCTCTACCACATGGATGCCGTTCTACCATTTCCAATTAGATTTTATTTCCATTCCATGCAGTATACCAATGTTTAATTCAAAATCAGTATTTCAGTAATACAGTATGTCACTTCGCTACATATGTCATTGCATTTTCAAAAAAAAAAAATCCATTCTGTACTTTTTAGGGTATCAACTGGCACATGTGGAAAGGCCATGAGTTCTCCATCCCGTTTGTGGAGATGAAGATGAGACCTTATAATTATCGCACCATCAGTGGCAAGCGAAGGAGGTGCACTCCACATTAATCAGCTGTTTTGGCCCATCTTACTAGCTGTTCCTATTTTTACATAAAAAGAAAAGTAAGGCTGTGTTGTTTATTTGATCTCTTTTGAAGAATTGCATTTAGAATGATAAGCCTTTTGGATTGTTCCTTTCTCTGTAAAACTTTTGATCCCTGAAGGTGTAAAAAAAAAATGCTCCCAGATACAGTATGGAACAGTGTTATTTACCACAAGTGGTTTGGGGAAAGGACATGAATAAAAATTACATACATGACAATGTATGTACTTTAAGAAAAAAGATTTTAGAAAAAAATAACTACACAGAAAAATAAGAGACTTATATTTTTATAACTGAAAACAACTGTAAAATATGATTGAATGGTTTACATGCAAGATTTTGGGACTGTTTTGTTTTTGATCTGAAATTGGTTTTGAGCACTTTCTTTTAATTTTGTATATTTGACATATACATAGGGTAACTAAGGAATCCCAAAAATGACATTAATAGGTGATCTAGACTATATGGGCTATCTGATAGTCAAAAATATAACTGAATACAAAAAATTAATATAGAGTGAGTTTTAAAAAACATCTTAATTATTATTTTTATTATTTATTCTTTTATTCCCGTAACCATTTTATCCTGGTCAGGGTTGCAATAAATGAGGAGCCTATGCCAGGAACACTGTGTCACAATACGGTGGAGTGGCACCACAGTGGTTAAGGCTCTGGGTTACTGATCAGAATTTTGGGGGTTTCAACCTCCTGCTACTGTTGGGCCCTTAAGCGAAGTCCTTAACCCCATCTGTTCCAGGGGTGCTGTGTCATGGCATGTTCTGACCCCAGCTACCTAACAAGCTAGGATATGTGAAAAAGAATTATTACACTGTAGTGTAATCTTTCTTCTTTCTAAACATTCACACACATATTCACGCTTAGGACAAGTTAGTGTAGCCAGTCCACCTACTGTCATGTTTTTTTGAACCTGGAGGAAACTCACGCAGACAAGGGGAGTACAGGGGCAGAAACTCCACCCAGACGATAACCTGAGCTCAAGATTGAACCAGTGACCCTGTGATGCAGCAATGCTACAGCTTCTCAATTTTCGGATTATTATTGATTCCAGCAATATCCAGATATTTATCTATTTCCTATTTTACTGATACTGAATTTTTAATGTCCTCACTACTTATATTATAATTAGGGGGTTGTGTCTTATTCACCCGTGCAGTATCTTGTGCGTCCCTGGAACACTGGGCATGAGGTGGGAATACACCTTGAATGGGGCACCAGTCCATTGCAGGGTATGATGCACATACACATTCACATCCTCATTCACGCCTATGGACAATTTATCTTAGGCAGTCCACCTACTCGCATGTTTTTGAGAAGTGGTAGGAAACTGGGGAACCTACAGGAAACCTACGCAGACACAGGGAGATCATGCTCAGAAACTCCATGCAGGGACCCTGGAGCTGCGAGGCAACAACGCCACCGTGTTACATTGTGCTACTGTGCCACCCCTACTATCAGTTTGTGCAAAATCAGGTAAATCAGCCAAATGCAATAGGTGGAGAACATCAAGTCTGTGTACATATGAATTATTCCAATGTATTATCAAATGCTGGTTAGTAATCCCACAGCATTAATGAAGCACGACATTAAAACACATTCGCTTCCAGTTCTAATGGGTCAGAAATGGAATAGATACACTACCACTGACACAGAGCCAGTATCACTCCACAGCTTTATTAATGCTGTGCGATTGCTAACCAGCAATTAATAATACACTGTAATGCTCCATATAAGTTAGGAGTAGTTAAGTTCTCCAACTACTTTGTTTGTCACCCTATGTTTGTACAAACAATTATCTATATGAATTAGGGATAAAGCTTGTTGATTCCTGTAGCAACTTGAGGATGCAATGGGCTGAACACAGACACACAGGAGGCAGGGGTAGTGGAAAACAAAGGCTGTTTTTTAAGTGTTTAGTGAAGTAGAGTTGAGGTAGGTGCAGAGTCCTGGGAAAATGGTGCAGCGTCACAGTCATTTTAGCTCTGGGCATGGCGAGCAGCATCGGCATGAGGCTTCAGCTGTGGATGTGAAGGCGCTGGGCTCTGCGTTGGCCAGGAGCATGGTCTTCGTCACTGTCTGCAGTTGCTACGTGAAAGGGAGAGAAAGGGATCAGCATTTCCATCCAGACCACACTGGCTTACCTTATTGTTCCTGCCACACCCTTTTATACTCTCCTGCTTTCTCCAGGAGGGTGAGGAGCCGCTGCACTCATTGGACACCAGCCATGTAGAGTTGTGCCACCCCGCCCTGCAGCCATGTGCTCCTGTGCTATCCACAACAATGGGGGTGCTGAAGTGGCATTGTTCTTTCAGCCCCGGGCAGCAGTTGTGCGAGGAGCGTGAAGTGCTTGAATGGCGGCGACTGCAGGCCCGCTATCACCATTCCATGCTAATTATAAAGCACTGTACTTCATAGATTGTAGATCTATATCATACCACATAGATTATTGTTCTCCCACATTTATGTTTGTGACATGACAATGAAAATTACCTTAGCCAATACCAAGTTTGGGTCTCCAGTGTTGAATCCATTCCAGTATAGAACATTCACCTCAAGCTACATTCATGTATAAAATTTGTATTTGTGTGGCTAAGCAGAATAGTTACAGAGCCTAAAGAGTGCACATAGGCTATATTAAGCATTAAAGCACATTATTAATTGTTTATTAGTAATCAAACAGCAGCAATACAAAAGCATAAAAGGCAGTTACATTTTACCATTCTGTCTATAAAACCTGATAAGAAACACCAAACCCCTCTAAGGGAATATTGCAAACTATGGCCAGTGTTCTAGCGATAAATAGAGAGCCAAACTTAAATTGTCATAACATTTTGAATTGGGTTGAAGATGTTTCTAAAAATATTGGTGAGGCTTTGTCTTTACATCATGTTGACAGTGATGAGAGCATGTTGTAATCAATTCTAGAAGCTGTCAAATTTCATCCTTATCAGCAGCAGCCTACTGGACAAGGACAATGTGGTCAACACTTTTGATTGATTGTTCTAGTCCTCATTACCATCAATATCAGATTCTAACCCACTGAACCAATCTAACACCTGAGTAGGTTTGGACATGCCACTCTCATTATCACATAAGAGCTGAGGAGATTAGGAAATGATGTGTAAATAAAATAGGAAATACATAAATAACTAAACATGCTGGAATCAGTAAAAATATAAAAGTGAGAGTGTTTAAAAGGTACAGTAAATGATAATAATATAATGTGTGTGACTGTTTGATACTTTAAGAAATAACTGAAGGCATTTTTAACTTAACTCTATAATCAGTTAGTATTCAATTAAACTGTATATTTGACTCACTAGACTCATTGGCATGTTAATGACTTGTCATTTTGGAGATTTCATAGGAAAGTTGCCATTGAATGCTTAGAGTGGAACATACCATTTCATTACATATGGAGAATAATCATGTCTCATTCTTTATGATTACTTGCACTGATGGTATTTTTGAAACCAAAGATTTACTGGTTGGAAATGTCTGCACATATAGACTGAATTTCATAGAGGATTTCAAAATTAAATTAGCTTACATCTTGATAGTTTTTGATACAGAAATACCATCATTGCAGCTTATAAAGCATCCCAGACAATCTCAGATTATTGCAGCAAATTCAAAACTCTTTTTAAAAATCCATTATTGAACTTATTGATTTATATTTGCATTATTTCTCATACTCATGTGATTTAAATGTTCATGTAACTTGTCATGTCATAGTGTGCAGTCTTTCCAGTTTTACTGTAGAATTAGTTTCAGTGTAAGAAATGAATGACCTCAAAAATGGTTATACGTTAACTCTCTCAACAGGATTGGGTCAGGTGCATACTGAATTCAGAATAACACCACTCAAATGTAAAATCTACTGCTTTGAAAAGTTTTTGCTTCCTCTTTTTTTAAATTTCATTTTCAAGTGTATGGTATTGTTTAATTTGTAGTGAACAAATTTGTCTAACTGAATGTTGAAAATAA